CTTATGAGCCCAGTGTTCTCTCATGGGATAGCATGTCAAACGGGCTTTATAATTAATCATCAGCTAAGTGTGAACTAACAGCTAAGTTTTTCTGTAAAGCATGCAAAATGATCTGCCAATGGTGTAAGCCAGTGGTGCCCAACTTCCATCCAGGAGGGTCAATGTCCTGCAAATTTGAGCTCCAACTTGCCTTTAACACACTTGCATGGATATTTCCAGAAACCCTAAAGCTACGGTCACATTTGACTTTTCTCCCCATAGACTTCCATTCATACGCACGCGTATGCGTCAGACCGCCGGAAATGCAGGGTCATGCGTTAAGATTCGCAGTTCGCTGCGGTGCAAATTTCAAGCTTGGTGAACTCTGACCTGCGAAATCGCGTCACTTGACTGCGTGAGACCAATCGAGGATCAAAACATGACATATCTGCACAGAAATTTAAAACATGGAGCAATCGCTCACTTTTTTAAATTTCTAATTATCTTGTTTAGTATCGCCCCTTTTCGCAGTGCCGTATGACAGAATGTTGCGCACACAAACTTTAGTGTGACCACAGCTTAATAAGTGCTTAATTAGCTAGCACAGGTGTGTCTAATTGGGGTTACAACTAAAATTTGCAGGACACTGGCCCTACAGGACCAAGTTTGGGCACCCCTGGGGTAAGATATATCTTGATGTATTTTGCTTAATTTGCTTACATTTATCAATTTTCCATGTAGCTTGCATTCGCCCAAACAATGAACACTTATGTCATAGCAGTTCTTGTAAGTATATACAGTATTACCAGTCTTAGCATTGGACAGGAAACAATGATTCAATGATTGTTGACTTGCTCCAAAATATACCCATGCCATTTGTCTGTCACTTCCTTTATGCTTAATTTCCATCCATACTCAAAGCAGTGACCACCTTATTAAAATAAATACATTTTTGATCTGATCTCAAGCTTGGGCAAATAACTGAGAAGGGCCAATCAGGGGCTTCATTTTAATGATGTCATCATATACTTTACACTTCTTGCAAAGTATTTTGAAACTGGAAAAAATCAAGACACTAAATTATTTTGATACAAAATATTAAGCCATTCCCCCGCAGTCCAGCGACATGCAGTATAAGTGAATTGGATGAACTAAATTGGCCGTAGTGTATGAGTGTGTGTGAATGTGAGAGTAAATGGGTGTTTCCCAATACTGGGTTGCAGCTGGAAGGGTATCCACTGCATAAAACATATGCTGGTTAAGTTAGCGGTTCATTCTGCTGTTGTGACCCCTGATGAAAAAGGACTAAGCAGAAGAAAAATGAATGAATGAATGATGAGTACTAACTACAGGTTTAATAGTCATAAAATATTACTCCGTTACTCTTCACCCAACCTTTATGTAACTCATGAAAAACACTTTTTTTTACTCCTGTTAGAAGAATCTCAAATAACACTAAACAGTGAGAAGATTACATGCAGATGAAGGTTGTGAAGTTTGTTTGTTTGTTTCTTTACTCATGGGAGGGTTCATTTAATACTCGTGGCTTTCTGACAGATTACTTTTCACTTTGCTGTGTATTGCAAATGACTCAGTTGTGCTTTTGTTTCCACATTTGACTAAAAATGTTGTTTGTCTTAGATTGTTTAGAGTGAAGTAGTAAAAGAAAATGACAGGTGAACGCCAGCAGTTTATTATTTCCTCATGCCAAATCAAATGAACTCATCTTTCAACGACCTGGTGATGAATCTTAATACTGTTTTTGTCTTAATTACACGTGCTCAGGTAATAAACCTTTAAACCTGCTTATCAAAAACTTTGCTGTAAATGGTGGATTATGCAGTTGTGCTTTTGTGATGTATATATAGCTGCTACCCATCTCTGGGAAATATGGCCACCATGGTCACCACCCATCTTGAAAAGTTTGCCCCCTCACACGTACTAATGTGCCACAAACAGGACGTCAATATCACCAATCATTCCCATTTTATTAAGGTGTATCCATATAAATGGCCCACCTTGTATATACAGTTAAATTCAGAATTATTAGCCCCCCTTTAAATTAGTTTTTTTTCTTTAAATAGTTTCCAAATAATGTTTAACAGAGCAAGGACATTTTCACAGTATGTCTGATAATATTTTTTTCTTCTGGAGAAAGTCTTATTTGTTTTATTTCAGCTAGAATAAAAGCAGTTTTTAATTTTTTAAACACCATTTTAAGGACAAAATTATAAGCCCCTTTAAGCTATATATTTTTTCAATAGTCTGCAGAACAAACCATTGTTATACAATGACTTACCTAATTACCCTAACCTGCTAAGTTAACCTAATTAACCTAGTTAAGCCTTTAATTGTCACTTTAAGTTTTATAGAAGTGTCTTGAAAAATATTGGGTAATATATATATATATATATATATATATATATATATATATATATATATATATATATATATATATATATATATATATATATATATATATATATATATATATATATATATATATATATATATATATATATATATATATATATATAGATATATATATATATATATATATAAATATATATATATATATATATATCTATATATATATATATATACATATATATATATATATATATATATATATATATATATATATATATATATATATATATATAGATATATATATATATATATATATATATATATATATATATATATATATATATATATATATATATATATATATATATATATATATATATATATATATATATATATATATATATATATATATATATATATATATATATATATATATATATAT